CCCTGCTCCTTCTTCCAACACTTGCAATCCCCTTCGTGCTTTTTCTTTTCGACCTCCTCGGCCCCATCTCCCTACCCAAAAACCATCCTTTGCGGACCTCCTCAAGGGCTCAAAACCCCTCCAGCCACCCTCTTCCTCTCACCTTGATCAGCCAGGCATTCTCCCCACCCCAGAGGCTGGGTGGACCACAGTGTCGTACAAGAGGCGACCTAAAAGGCCTAGGTCATCTTCTTCTTCCTTCAATCTCCCTTCCACATCCAAGTTCCCCAGGTGCTTCCGCTGTGGGAAGTCAGACCACATGGCCAAACAATGCTCCTTAGGTGCCTTCAAGTGTTTTGCATGCAACCAAATCGGTCACACTTCAGTCTGTTGCCCCAACAAAAAGAATCACCCCATCCTTAGCACCCCCCCTCCTCTCCACCCCCACCCCTTTTTATCCCCAAAGTTTCTCTTCCACCTTCGGTCATCTCCAGCATGGCAGATTTTTCCTGCTACTCTTTCCTCAAGATTCAGGTCGGTAACCCCTCTTTTGCGGAACTTCTAGCTAATCTTGAATCGCACCTCAAAGTAGAGGAATGGTCCTTCATTGTCAGACAAACCTCGGATCACTCCTACTTCATTCAATTCCCCGATGCCGAAACCCTAGACTACGCCTGTTCCAAACCTTTCTTCGACTTTGGTGAATTTGGTGGTGTCTTCACTCCGTGGTCGGAGAAAGCAGGTCTCAAAGTTCTGCCTAAATTCTCCTATGCATGGGTCCAAATCCTGGATCTCCCTCTTCATCTCTGGGACCTAGAGTTCATTTACTCCATTCTTGTTGATATTGGTGACATTATTACTGTTTCCGACGATGTATTGTTAAAGAAGGAAGCTAAAGAGTGTAAAGCCATGCTTCATATTAGAGAACCCTCTGAAATTCCTCAGGAGGTGATCTTCAGGTATGAGTCCCCATATGGCATCCACATTATGGAGGGCTCAGTCAAATTGCGGTCGGTAGGATCTCCTCTTTCCGTAGAGAAAGACAAAAATAGGGACACTTTTGAAGCTTTTGTTCGTAAAGAGGGGACACCTTGTGCCCCACCGGCTGTTTCCCCTCCAGCTGGGCCCTCTGCCCACTTGTGTACCGCTTCCTCTCAGCGTCTGCAGTCTGTTCCTCCTTCCTCTGTTCTCAAAGGCAAGAGCCCATTGACCGGATCTCCCAGTAAGTTTCCCACCACTCTTCCAGTGGACCCAGCGCCAGCTGAGGCTCCGGAGATGACTAATGTCATATTCATAGGCATTCCGATTCTTATCTCCAAGGCTTCTTGGGAAGCTGTTCTAGAATCTTTCCCGGGCATCGATGTTTCCTCCCAAGATCCAGTTGCGGCTAAGAACATCGACCATGTTTTTTAGATTAGCTCCTCCGATCCCTCGGTCAACTCATCCTCTTCAGCCCCTCTTCCAGGTTTCGAGAATGCTAAGAGACAGGTTAAAGCTGCTAAGAAGAAGACCAGCAGTGGCCTAATGTCTCATTTGCCTTACAAAAAGCACCTATCAATTATGAGGAAAGGTAAAAAACCAGGTATATCCAAGGGCACTTCCTCCTCCTCAGCATCCACCCTCCCCATTAATTCTCTAAATATTCATAGTTTGGAGGACATCTCCATTAATTGGGGTATCAAAGGTCCAATTGATCATGATGAGCTCAGGGACATTCAACTTATGGAGTCCCAAGGGCCTCAGAATGTTTGAGCTTCCTCGGCCTCTCTGCTTTAAGTTGCTTGTTTTTTCTTGCCCATGCGTATTGGATCATGGAATGTCAGAGGGTTAAATAACCCAGCTAAGCGTAGGCTAGTGAGCGTTTGTTTACAGCTTGCCAATGTTCATCTGGTGGGAGTTCAGGAATCTAAACTCAGTTCGCCTAATCCTATTCTTCTTAAGAAGTTGGGGGGGGGGATAAGATCTCTTCTTGGTTATCCCTAGATGCCGTCGAATCCAGAGGGGGGGTATCCTTGGCTGGAATGATGACATCTTTTCCTGTTCCTCCTCCTTCGTAGGTGTTTTCTCAGTATCCGTCACCCTTACTCATCGTCCATCTAATTGGTCTTTCTCTGCTACCTCTATTTACGCTCACTATGACCCAGCAGATAGAGAGGTCTGCTGGTGGGAGCTCAAGAGAATTAGGGATTCCCATTCCCTTCCCTGGGTCGTCTTCGGTGATTTCAACATGACTTTAAGTCTATCTGAAAGAAGTGGGCGAACGAGTTCTACTCGTGATATTGATACATTCCGTAAACTTATTGATTCCATCCATCTCCTAGACCTTCCCCTCAGCGGAAGAAAATTCACTTGGTCCAGTCATAGATCTCCTCCTTCTCTTGCTAGATTAGACAAATTTTTGGTCTCCCTAGATTTCGAATCGAAATTCCCCCTCCTTACCCAATCTGCTTATCAATCATCGTGTTCCGATCATTGTCCCATTTTACTAGACACATCCACTCCTTTAAATCCTCCTCTCTTTAGATTTGAGAAGTATTGGTTATCTTTTCCAAACTTTGCCCCTTTCATCTCATACTGCTGGAACTCCTTCTCCTCATCCGAGGATCCTGTTAAAAATCTATCTATCAAGCTGAAACTCATCAAGAAGAGATCCAAATGGTAGTGTAGGCTGTCTAAAAATCATAATAGATAGCTTATTCCCCATCAACCACCGATGATGGAAGTTACAATCTGACGACTTCCAGAAGGCTGTAATCTGAAGACTTTCGCGTAGATTGCTGAAGGTTACAATCTAACGACCTTCACGACAACTGATGGAAGCTCTACTTCAACAGCCTTCACAATCAACATCGGGAGTTACAATCTGACGACTCTCATATTCTCAAGGAGCCAAGACGAAGATTACAAGACAATGATCTTTGCAACGCTATGACAAAAAGAGATTACTTGGTGATAATCTCTGCAAGGCAAGACGCGGAGGTCGAACCCGCGTTACAACATCAAAACGCCAGGGTCGAATCCCGCGTTACAACATCAAAACGCCGAGGTCGAACCCGCGTTACAACATCAAAACGCCAGGGTCGAAACCCGCGTTTCAACATCAAAACGCCAAGATCGAATCCCGCGTTACAACATCAAAACGCTAGGGTCAAACCCGCGTTACAACATCAAAACGCCAGGGTCGAACCCGCGGTTACAACATCAAAACGCCAGGGTCGAACCCGCGTCACAACATCAAAACGCCAGGGTCGAACCCCGCGTCACAACATCAAAACGCCAGGGTCGAACCCCGCGTCACAACATCAAAACGCCAGGGTCGAACCCCGCGTCACAACATCAAAACGCCAGGGTCGAACCCCGCGTCACAACATCAAAACGCCAGGGTCGAACCCCGCGTCACAACATCAAAACGCCAGGGTCGAACCCCGCGTCACAACATCAAAACGCCAGGGTCGAACCCCGCGTCACAACATCAAAACGCCAGGGTCGAACCCCGCGTCACAACATCAAAACGCCAGGGTCGAACCCCGCGTCACAACATCAAAACGCCAGGGTCGAACCCCGCGTCACAACATCAAAACGCCAGGGTCGAACCCCGCGTCACAACATCAAAACGCCAGGGTCGAACCCCGCGTTTCAACATCAAAACGCCAAGGTCGAACCCCGCGTCACAACATCAAAATGCCAGGGTCGAACCCCGCGTCACAACATCAAAACGCCAGGGTCGAACCCCGCGTCACAACATCAAAACGCCAGGGTCGAACCCCGCGTTTCAACATCAAAACGCTGGAGTCGGACCCGCGTTACAACAGGCGAAACGTGAGCGACCCTCGCGTTCGTAGGGGTCCAGCCAACACCGACCCCCGCGTTTCTAAGCTACAACAAACCAAAACGCGAGCGACCCTCGCGTTCATCAATGTTCAGCCAAGGATCTCTTAGCCCCAAGGCTATGCGCAAGATCCACAAAGTTTCCAAGGAGACTAAATCTCCAACTGTTGCTGGAACGCCAAAGAAA